GTAAATTCATCATAAGTCACTGTCACATTCATAAGTCACAATGGCAATGCACCGGCGTTAGAGTTTATCCGAGGATATGTCACGAACCGCCAAGCATTAGGCCTACATTTAAGTGAAAATGAATGGCAGGTAATATGCAGCTTTTTGTGTGTTTGAAACCAGCAAAAATGGCAGGATAGTGTAAAACACAGATTCACACAAGGTCACATCACGCACCTGCAGCGCTTCTGTGAACGGAGAAAACAGAATAGAACTATATAGGCTACATAAAAAGGAATATATAGGCCTATACACTAAATATATTTCACTTAAATCATTAACAGATTAACCAAACGAAAGAAAAAATTGTGCTGCGTTTCGGATAATTGTAATGCGCTCCGAAGTTCACGGAATGGAAACCAAGACGGCAGAAAGCCGTTTTCTTTATTTTGCAAAAGCTTTACAGTTTTGAATGATGTTTTGCTTCTATCTGTAGGCTATAACCAAACAGCGTTGGTATGACCATAAATGACGGAGTAACAGTTGGGAAAACAATGCAGTGATCGCGTCGGCACCTCACACGCACATACAATATATTTTTGCTAACTTGACATCGCAGCCTGTTCATTATCAAAATAAAATACAGTTAAAGAAACATCAAAAGTTACACTGCTCAATTTAAAGAGTCCGTGGTACAGTCTGTGTCGTTCAGTGTGACCAGCGCCTCACTGCTGATATAGCCTATATGTGAAGGATGATGTTTTACGTCGATAATGTGAGTGAAGAACAAAGCCTATAGTTTACATAATAAATAATAGGTTAGCATCCAGATGCGTTGCAAATATGGAAACATTTGGATTCGTGCGGAGTGAGAGAGGTAGGCTTCGGTTTCACTTTTAAATTAATTTGTTTTGGCTTGACGTTTATATTTAGCCTAAATACAACTTTAGAGGATTTGTTGTGGAGAGAAGAGAACTAAAATAGCCTAACTGTGTTATGTTTGTAAACATTTTGCCTTATTTACCAGTATTTTAGCCTACATTATTTCTGAATATAATAATAAAATGCGACGTACAGACTAATAATTTAGGCTGTTCTTTCCTCTTAAAACGCTTATACGAGTAGCGTTTTTTATCCATGCTGCAAACATTTTTAAATATCTTCAAAAAATACTTTAATGTCTTTAAAGTGTTGACAAATTTTTCTTTTATTTAATATATTTGGCCAAAATCTAGAAAAGATGTATAGTATTGTATGTAAAGTATTGGCTATGACTAAGCGCAAGTACCAGATCAAGACTCTCTCCGTGTTGTAGAGAAAACGCTGTACTTTATTATTATTATTATCATTATTATTATTATTATAGGCAAAGAAAAAGTTTTTTTTAAATAACGTTATTAACTGGTATGTTTTCTTCTCAAACCAGTTTATGAACGGTAATAATACAGAGGAACGCAGGAACAGAAACGTTCAAATACCGATTCTGCTCGGAGTGAACCGATCAAATGTTTTTTTTGTTTTTTTTTAAGCCCTCCTTTATGCAGTTGACCTATATTGGTATCGGAATCGGCCAATAGTTGTTTGTTAAAATCGGTATCGGCCAAAAAAAAAAATAATCCTATCGGTGCATCCCTAGTAAAGAGTGTTTAGAGTGCTTTTAATTCTCTCAGTCTTACCTTGTGTCAGGTCCACATAGTAGCAGTTGTTCTGTCCAGAGTCAGTGGTGATCTGAAAGCGGTAACAGGCTCGCACCTGATGAACCAGCTGCTCTGACAGCACAGACCGGACCGCATCCATCAGTCCATCCACACGACTGACACTCACAGCTGCAGCTGAACGCAGCTCATCTGTGAAACTCACTGAATCTGGAGAAACCACGAAATGAGATTCTGTTTATCATGCTGGTTTGGGAAAAAAAAGGGAATCATAGATGCATTTACATCTAATTATTTGGCAGACACTTTTATCCAAAAGTGACTTACAATTGAGGAACACTGCAAGCAATTTATTACAGATTAGGGGTGTAACGGTACACGTATTCGTAACGAAAATTTTCTGTACGTAAATTCGGTATGTCACGTAGCATTTCATTTACCTCAGACAAGTCATCAGTGTCTACATAACCTTATAGTAAAAGGGCTCCCTATAGTTTAGAGCAAAAGCTGAGGTAGATTTTTATCCCTAAGAAAATTTTAAGTATAATTGAATTTATTTAAAGTAAGAGCATTTTGTTCAGTAAACAATTGTTAAATAAAAAAAAAAAAGCAATTTATGTTTAGTTTTTTCCTCCTGCTGTACCGAAACCATACCGAACCGAAATCCGAGGTACGTACCGAACCGTCATGTTTGTGTACCGTTACACCCCTATTACAGATCCAAGAAGCCTAACATCACCTTGACTGGATTGGGACGCAGCCGTCTGGCTCAGGAAGTGCATTGCGAGCTGCTGTATGGGTCCGGTGAGTCCTTCCAGCCCAGGGACAGACGGCGGCATAATGATGGGCCCTGCGTGTCCCCCGTCCGGTTCCCGGAGCACCCCCTCCAGGATCAGCTCCACACGGTCCACCTCCAGCCCCCACGGCTTCGTCATCTCATTCATGTCCATCTGCAGCACACAGGCACTTCAAAGCTTAAAGGGACAGTGCACCCAGAAATAAAAGTTTGCTGTTCATTTACTCACCATCAAGATGAACTACCCCTTTAACTTTAAAAATCCTGGAATATAGTGGTTAAAAGTGTAATATTTCGTATTTGTCTCTCACCCCGAGATGTTCACCGAGTTTGATCCTCTCGGTCTGTATCTCTCTCAGGGTTTTTTTGCTCATGGTCTGCATCATGGCGTTCTGTGCGGTGAGGCGGGTGGAGGCGTTCAGATCCTGCAGCGCCACCACGGACATCACCGGACTCCAGATCCGGAACTGGATATCCGCTCCAACCGACACCAGACCACCGTCTTTGGTGGTGATCTTTTGGCAGGGAATATTGTGGGAATCTCAAAATACTTGGTTTGTAGAAAGATGAGTTTTTAAATGTAACTGAACTAAAAAAAAAAACGTTTTTTCATTGTACCTTGCACGGTGGGACGCTGAAGGCTCTGGTCCGCAGGTCAACTCTCTGCCACTGATCAATGAAAGGCAGAACCAGAACCACTCCTGGACCTTTAGGAGGACGGATCCGGCCCAGACGAAAAACAACAATCCTCTCATAGTTCGGTACAACCTGAAAATGATACTGTATATTTAAGAAGCACTTAAAAAAGGCTAAAACTCTCCTAAAAATGCGCTTCGACTGACCTTTAGGACAAACCATCCAGATATGGGAAAAGTTATGAAGGTAACTAGGAAAACCAGGAATGTTACGATCAAGTTGCAAATCCAGGACAACAATCCCTGAGATTTATCTGTTATAAAAAGAGTATAATTATTAAATATAAATAAATTAAAAATATCGTATAATATATAAAGTATTATATAATATATATA